AAAAAAAAAAAAAAATTGTTACTCGAGATCGTCGAACTACAATCTGAAGGGTCCCATCTCGATACTTTTTGTTAACACTATAGCGAACTATCCGTTCAAAATTTCCATCAGAGACGTAAAAGTGTAAAAAAAAATTTTTTATAATACAATAGGGTACACAAGCATTTATTTATGTATTTTGCGAAGAATCATTAACAGAAGTTTCCAAAATATACTGTATCATATCCATAAAATATTTAGTATATAAAATATTTGTTTTATAACATAAAATGTTCAAATGGTCATTTTGATCATTTTGGTAGTTCTAGTGCAGTGTTTCCCAATCTTTCTTTGACTATGCTCCATCTGTAGTATCTGTAAAACCCTGCTCTACACATAATTCCTTTCATTCAAAATAATGAATTTGACGTAAAGGAAGTCTAAAGAGCCATTAACAAACTAAAGTGGTTTCTAAATAAGAGCATGATATCCATGAAAGAAAAAAATAAAAAGACAATTGAAGTACCTTGAAGAAATCACTAAGAAATTGTTCAAAATAATAATAATAAACTGAAGTGATACGATAAACAGCAAATAAAGTTTTAAAACGGTATGAAAGAGAACTGAAATGCACAAATATGGAAATAATTTTAATGGAAGCTTCTTCTGCAATACTTCGACCATTTAAAATTATTATAAAATCAGACGAAGGTACCAAACGAATTCAAAGTACAATTTCAGCTCATCGTAAGGTGAGGCGCTAAAAATTCGCTGTTAACTGAGAAAATTTTTTGACAAACTTTTTCTTTTTTCTAACTTAAAAAATTCATCGGCGTGAATCGCCACGTTGGGAACCACGGCTCCAGTGTTGAGAAGAAGGAAGAAACGAAAAAGATTCAAATAAGAAGGAGAAAGGAAAGAGAAACAGTAGAGATCGAACTAACCGACAACCATCAGGGTAAAGTCAAATCCCTTTTTAACGGCTTTTCTGTAAACTTGATTGGGCAGATTCGCGAAACCCACGTAACCGTCGAGTTCCTTGGGCTTGGTCGGTGGTGTTGGTCGTGGATGATGAAGGACAGCAGTCTCCTTGTTCTCGGTGGCTCTGTTCGACTCTCGTTTGTTGCTGTCCTCCGATGCATCGTTTTGATTTAGAATCACCGTGGACGGAGGTAATCGTGGCTTGGAACTAGGCGCCGACGATGTGACACTTGTGTACACGGTCGAGGAGGCTGGCGGTGGTACTGTGTTAGGTGAGGCGAGCGTCGTGATCGTTGTGGTCGTCGTCGACGACGTGCTCGTTGACGATACGCTCATCGACGACGGGACCTGCGACGGTGGTTGCGGGGGTGGCACCGACGGCACAGATGGTGACGATATTATTCCGGCGTTGTCGCCTTTGAAGAATAGCTCTCGCTTCGCCTGTATCTACAAGTAGAGCATATTATCATTTCTCGTACAATTATACTGTAATATATTCAAATATAATATGTATTATAATATATATAAATGTATTAAAATATATCATAATAAATTTGTATTTTTATTCCAAATTGGTCTTTGTTTAACAAACTAGTAAAGCACACCTTTTAACAAAATAACTATTGGACTATTAGATCAATTATAATATATATTATAATGTATATGAATATATTAATAAATTGTATACCAGTTTGTATTTTTATTCCAAGTGGTCCACATTTAATAAACTAGTTTATTAAATAAAAATACACCTTTTAATATAAAAGACTATGAAATTATTAGATCAATTATAATATATGTTATGATATATAATATCTAAATTAATAATATATCAATATAGTAATAAATTGTATACCAACTTGTACATTTATTGCAGTTGGTCCATATTTAATAAACTAGTTTATTAGATAAAAATACACCTTTTAATATAAAGGATTATGAAACTATTAGATTAAAATGTATTAAAATGTAAATGTATATTATATATTTGTGTATTATAATAAATATTGTAATAAATTATATACCAATTTGTATCTTTATTCCAGTCCACATTTAACAAAGTAGTTTATCAAAGAAAAATACAGCTTTTCATACATGAGAGGCTACTAGTCGTCAAAAAAGAGTTGAAATGATTATAAAATATATATATCCAAGTAGACTGTTGTAACAGTAATTTCAGTTTTTTCATGAGATAATCGCGATACGATGGAAATTTTCATGCTGCATCAATAATCTCATACTGGAATATCCTACACAGTTGGTGAATGAGAAAATGCTCTGTGAGTGAATGAACTTTACGAACGCTATTTGCTAGCTCTCCTATTACGTTACAGTGTCCAGCGAGAAGTACCATATTCGCGTCAATAACACGTCATTGATATCAATTTGTTCCAAATACACAAATGCCAAGATTATCATCTTTTCTTCTATTCTCATCTATTAGCTTTTCTTTTTCTTTTTCTTTCTTTTTTTTTTTGTTTCATTCAATCTGAACCCCTGCATTGTTCGTGCAATACAATACAAAGATATGCAGGGATATCAATTGTTTATAGAGTGCTATAGCTTCGAGCTGTATCATTGATCCAATTGCGCGAATTAGAGGCAACCTGTCCTCTTTTCTTCCGCCTTTAATTAACACGTCCGAGGCATAGTTTCGAGTGAATTATATCGAAAAATGGTACATGGCGCAGAGTTTGAGAAGCACGCAAAATATATACAAAATTATATATATTATACATATATATCTTATATATTATATATATTATACATATATATCTTATATATGATATATATTATACATATATATCTTATATATGATATATATATCATATATATCATATATTATATATATCATATATATTATATATATTTTTTATATATATTTATATATATATTTTAATTATATATATATAAATTTTTTTAGCCTTTAAGAGAACTCGAAATTTAGTATTATTATTAAAACTTTGCTTATTATCATTGAATGTTGAAGAATAGACAACACACGACGAAATATATTATTCACGATCGACAGAATGAAAATGTCACCCATGTTATTTCAATATGTTATTAAAAATTATTATTCATATTATTATATCACAAATATACAAAAATAACGCTGAGCCTGAGCCGTGTACCAAATTTCTGGCACTGGAGAACTTAGCAACTATATTCGCCGATCTCGATCTATCTTCCACCGCGTGTCAGGAAGTTTCGAAAGGAACTGACAAACACGCGTGAAAAACACAAACAAACAGTGTGCGAATAATAAACGCGGCGCGTTGTGACGGGGTGCGAACGGGGTTTGCTTGTTCGCGATCGATACGCGCTTTGCATACAACGCTGGCAACGGGAGCTATAGTCAACCTCGAGTGGCGCAGTGTCTTATGAACTTCCGGCCGGAAGTGGCTACTGTCCGCAGCACCAAACAGAGAGACTGCAGGCCACGGTTGACAATCTAGGAATACACAACTCTTGGGGCAAAACACAGCGTTAGCAACAGTTGGACGAGGATAACAGAGATTCTTCTTGTAAACGAAAATTCTCGCTAGAATAGTATATACCTTGAAAATAATGCATAAGCATTAAGAAAATCAAAATAATTTATTAGCGTTATCATGGTAGAAATTTGTCTTGGATTTTAATAGCACTCGTTGTTCCTCAAACAATTGGTCTGTTAATGAACAAAATTTTTTTGGACGGCGGGGGGGGGGGGATTTTGTTAAAGTTGTTCTATTGACGACGAGAGGAGAATATTATATTTTGCAAATACTTTGCAAAATGTCATCAAAAGATC